AGTTAAGCGTTATTGCTGCTAGAACCTGTCCTAATGCTGTACTTCTAAAAGCACCTTGTTCTTTTTTTTGTTTGGTAGATCTCTGAAGCTGGGAAGGACTCCTTGCCTTCTTGGTTACACTGGAACGTGGAGAGCAGCTCCCTGGAAGGGCTGCCCCTTGACACGGACAAGGGCGTCCACTACATCTCGGTGACCACGCTGCAGCCCTTCCCAAATGGGAGCTACGTGCCGCAGACTGCAAATGTCTTCTCTGTGGAGGTCCACCAAGAAGACCACAATGAGCCTCAGTCAGTGCGAGCAGCCGTCCAGGACACAGGTGATGCAGCACCATTTGTGTGCGGCTCAGAAGAGCCGGTCACTATCCTGACTGTCATTTTGGATGCTGACTTAACAAAAATGACACCAAAGCAGAGGATTGAACTTTTAAACAGAATGAGAAGCTTCTCGGAGGTGGAACTTCATAACATGAAGTTGGTTCCTGTTGTAAATAACAGACTCTTTGACATGTCAGCCTTTATGGCTGGACCAGGAAATGCAAAGAAGGTGGTGGAAAATGGGGCCTTACTCTCATGGAAACTGGGATGTTCTCTGAGCCAAAACAGTGTCCCCAACATCAGCAAGGTCGAGGCTCCAGCTAAGGAAGGAACCATGTCTGCCCGCCTTGGCTACCCTGTTGTTGGCTGGCACATCGCTAACAAGAAACCTCACCTCCCAAAGAGGATGCGGCGGCAGATCAATGCCACCCCTACGCCTTTGACTGCCATCGGGCCGCCCACCACTGCCGCGCAAGAACCGCCAACCAGGATCGTCCCCACCCCGACATCGCCCGCCATCGCGCCTCCCACGGAGACGACGGCACCCCCTGTCCGGGAGCCCATACCGCTGCCAAGGAAGCCTACGGTCACCATCAGAACGAGGGGCCCCATCGTCCAGACGCCCACTCTGGGACCAATCCAGCCAACCAGGGTAGCAGAAGGCACTGGCACGGCCTCCGTGCCAATTCGCCCCACGATGCCTGGGTACGTAGAGCCCACGGCGGTGATCACGCCACCCACAACTACCACCAAGAAACCCAGAGTCTCCACTCTGAAGCCAGCCACGCCATCCACAACGGATTCCTCCACGGCGACGACGCGAAGGCCTACTCGAAGACCCAAAACGCCCCGTCCGACGAAGCCTCCCAGCACGACCAGATCCCCCATCTCCAAGCTGACAACGGCCTCCCCGCCAACCCGCGTACGCACCACAGCTAGTGGGATCCCCCGGCCCTGGGAGCCAAACGAGCCACCCAAGCTGACAAACCACATCGACAGGGTCGACGCGTGGGAGGGCACTTACTTCGAGGTTAAAATACCCTCGGATACTTTCTACGACAAGGAAGATACCACCACTGACAAACTGCAGCTGACCTTGAAGCTGAAGGAGCAGCAGATGATAGAGGAGAATTCGTGGGTGCAGTTCAACAGCACCAGCCAGCTCATGTACGGCATGCCGGACCACAACCACATCGGGAAGCACGAGTACTTCATGTATGCAACCGACAAAGGTGGGCTTTTTGCTGTGGATGCCTTTGAAATCCATGTCCACAAACGCCCGCATGGAGACAAGTCTCCGGTGAAGTTCAAGGCCAGGCTGGAAGGGGACCACAACGCGGTGGTGAATGACATCAATAAGAAGATCATGCTGGTGAAGAAGCTGGCTCTGGCATTCGGCGACAGGAACAGCAGCACCATCACAGTGCAGGACATCGCCAAAGGCTCCATCGTAGTGGAGTGGACAAACAATACGCTGCCCCTGGAGCCCTGCCCCCGGGAGCAGATCCGGACTTTGAGCAAAAAAATTGCAGATGACTCCGGCGGGCCGAGCCTGGCTTTCTCCAACGTCTTGCAGCCTGAGTTCAAGCCTCTGAACGTGTCGGTGGTCGGCTCCGGCAGTTGCAGGCACATCCAGTTCATCCCCGTGACAAAGGACGGAAGGGTGATCTCGGAGGTGACGCCGACGGTAGCGGCGGGCAAAGACCCCGAGAAGAGCAGCGAGGACGACGTGTACCTGCACACCGTCATCCCTGCCGTGGTGGTGGCCGCCATCCTCCTTGTGGCCGGCATCATCGCCATGATCTGCTACCGCAAGAAGAGGAAAGGGAAGCTGACCATCGAAGACCAGGCCACCTTCATAAAGAAAGGCGTGCCCATCATCTTTGCCGACGAGCTGGACGACTCCAAGCCTCCACCGTCCTCCAGCATGCCCCTCATCCTCCAGGAGGAGAAAGCCCCACTGCCCCCCCCGGAGTACCCCAACCAGAGCATGCCGGAGACCACGCCGCTCAACCAGGACACCATCGGGGAGTACACGCCGCTGCGGGACGAGGACCCCAACGCGCCGCCCTACCAGCCTCCCCCCCCCTTCACCGCACCCATGGAGGGGAAGGGCTCCCGCCCGAAGAACATGACCCCGTACAGGTCCCCGCCGCCCTACGTCCCCCCTTAACGAACGGGAGGCTCTCGGGGGGAGAAGGGGCCTCCAGCTCCACGCCAGTGCTGTCTGTGGGCCGGCAGCCCCCTCGCCAGCCGGGAACCCGAAACCCCAGCCCGCTCCCCAGCAGGCCCTCCCCGGCTGTGCCCGCCGCACTGGAGCGCTTGTGGGACTCGGGGGGACACTTGTTTTATTTTTGCCTAACAAGCTTTGGTTTTATTTTATTCATAGAAAAAATTCTCGGCTCAAACACGCCTTCCCGGCGGCTGGGCTTCTGGCCGGGGCCGGGGTGGCGGGCAGGGAGGGGGGACGGGACGGGATGGGGCGGGAGGAGCAGGCAGCACTGGGGTAGCACTCTGGGTCTCCGCTGTTTGCCTTTAACACTAACTGTACTGTTTTTTCTATTCACGTGTGTCTAGCTACAGGACGTAACATGAAAGGTAGCCTAAAAATAATTAAATTCAAGGGACTTTCTGAAGTCGATGTTTTAAGTTTTTACATTTAATCTGCTGTTTACCTAAACTGGGATGTGTAGTTTTGGGGAGGGGGAGGACAGTGCTGTGCTGCAGGTGAGCTCCAGGGGCGATTTGGGGCTGCTTAGGGGGAGGCCCTCAAGGACAGCCAGCCTCCTCCTCCTCTTTGGGGGGATTGGCTTCTTGGTTTGGGGTTTGATTCTTTTATTTTTTTATTATTTTTTTTTTAATCAAAGAAATCCTATTTTTCTCACACATCATAAAATAGTCATCAGTTGAGTCAGACTGGCTTGGGGTACCTATGGCTAAGCGCGGGGGCAGCTGCCCGCACCTCGGGGTGCAGCGCTGTGCTGGGGGGGGAGCTCGCGGGAGGGTGAGCCGGGCCCCATGCCGCGACGGCTTCTCTGCTTCCCAGCGAGTGCCAGGGTTGGGGTGGTCTTTTTTAAGCAAAACCCTCTCCCCGCGAGGTGTTTTGGCGACGGTGGGGTGTTTTCTCCGTAGTGCGGTGCTGTCTCTTTGCCTCAAATCCTCCTTAAGAGCGGTGCCGGAATGGCCTGGCCAGCCCCCGGCTCCGGGCCGCATGCCTCTTCACGGCGTGCCCGGATGCTGTTGGAAAAAAAAAAAAATTTAAAAAAAAAAAAAAAAAAGAAAAAAAAAAGGAAAAGAAAAAAAAACCAAGAAAAAAAAAGTGCCAGGAATAGTTGATAGTCAAAAAAAAAAATCAGTGAACTCTCAAAATCTAATTTTTTACTAAATTTTTGATACAGCCTCAAATTGTTTTATTAAAAAAAGACTTAAAAACCGGTGTACGGCTGCCAGCAGTTTGTACGAGCTTAGCTTCCTAGTGCCGGCTCCCTGGGCCCCGCCGCCCGGCTCAGGCCCCGCTTCTCGGGGGCCGCCCCCGGCCGCCTCCTGCCCCTCGGCTGCCTCTTCCTTCACTTTAGAGCTGTTATTTTTCTCTCCTTCGCGCTAAATCATTTTCAGCATGGATCGACTTTGTGTTTTCCCTCAGCCTTCTTTGGGGTGCGCTGGGGAGGGAGGAGAAGTAACCCCCGCGCGGCGGGGGGACGGGGGGGTCCCAGCGCACGCCGAAGCCATACCCACCCCCTCCCTCGGGGGATGGTGCGCTGTCGCGGCCGGGCGAGCGGCTGGGTGGGCCGGGGCCCTGCCTCTGCTTATCGGGGGCTGTGGGGGG